GAGCACCACCACGACCACCACGACCACGGGCACCCCGACCCCGACACCCACCATCACCACCACTCCGAGCACCATCATGACCACCACGACCACGGGCACCCCGACCCCGACACCCACCCCAACCACCACGACGACCACCACCACCACGGGCACCCCGACCATCACCACTACCATGGGCACTGAACCTGCAGGTAAGACCACCATGCCAAAACCCCCACCTGAGCCCTCCTTTCCTCCAGACTCTCAGTTCATCTTTCCTCCTTCCACAGAATCAACCACGCTTCTGACCAGCACCCCAACAATCACGAAGACACCCAGCACACTGTCGCCCTCCCCGCCAACAGAAACTAAGGGCACTACCACAGGAAGCATCTCGCCTTCTCCTCCCACTCCTGCTGCCAGCACTCCAGGTACATAAGCCCCACAGAGCTGGTGTGCTTGCCAGTGGTGTGCTCAGGGTCCTCCTAACCCTAGGAGAGCAAGCTTTCCTGCCGGGAGCCATACAGCTTCTCAGACATGAGGTGTGGGCGGCAGAGCAGAGAGCTCCCCACTTGCCCCCCACAAGATGTCTCTTCAGGCACAGCTTCCTGAGGTCCTTGTTCCTCAATCCTTGGCTGTGTGATGGGCAATATGGGCAAAGAAGTCCAGGGAGGGGGCCCCACTGTGGCATGTGGGGCCAGGGCTGTGAATGGAGGCTCCTGTCAGGTGCCCTGGGAGACCCCCCTTCTGTCCCCCACCTCTGCCAGCACCTCCCCATGGGGCTTCAGAGGGCAGCTGGTCAGCATAATCTCAGACGGACCGGTGTTGTGACAACCCCTTTAGCCTCACCGCTGTGGACCTAACACTGCATGGTGGGCCCTGCTCGCCTCGCCCTACCTTGAGACCGAGAGCCAGGAAAGTGGACGTCGGCCTTTCCATGCCACATGCCACGGCTTGAGCGGGTTTTCTGTGAGGTGGCTGCATTTGCCATCGGGCCCCTGTGGTCTCTCAGATGAGTGGAGGCTATGAGCTCCCACCTGAAACCTTCATTTTTACAGGCATGCAGACCTCCGGTCCCACCTCCTCAAAGACCACCCCCACCAGTGAAACTACAACTGGGCCCCCCTCACCCACCCCAGGAGCCCCCTCCACGCCCACTCCCACGACTGTGTCAACGACCACCACAGGAACCTCCACACTGCCCACACCGTCCAGGCCACAGACCGCCAGCCCCACGACCTCCCATGTGCCCACCCCTACACTGACCCCGATCTCCACCCCCAACCTCACCATAAGCACGGGCTCAGTCATCTCCTCCACTCTTGTCATCTGCTGCATTTTGAATGACACCTACTACGCACCAGGTACCCAAGCTTTTCCCTCTGGCTTTCGGGCGACAGAGGCTGGTGGGGCTTTGGTCTCTGCTTTCACCAGTGGTTGGGGGTCAGGCGTCAGTCTAAACCAGGAGCTCACTTGGGAAGCTGGATGCTGGGTGTGGGCGGCTGTCCCTGTGGTCAGGCCCGCTTTGCTGTGGCCGTGAATCAGGGAAGTGGGGGTTGGTGGCCTCGTGGGACCTGCCGCATGCCCTGGTGGCCAGCCCTGTCTGGACAGTGGAGGACTGGTCTCTCTCCCCTCATAGGTGAGATGGTATACAACGGCACACACGGGGACACCTGCTATTATGCGAACTGCTCGCGGTCCTGCACCATCGAGATCTTCAACTGGTCATGCCCGTCCACACCCTCCTCAACACCCAGCCCTTCCAAGCTGGCATCCACTTCAACACCCAAACCACCCACGCCCACAGCATCGAGCACACCGGCCACCACCAAGCCCCCTGCGTGCCCAGACTTTGATCCTCCCAGACAGGTCAGTGTGCCGCGGGCTATTTCTTGTCCCCTTGGCACTGAGCACACTCACCCACCAGCCAGGTATCCGGAGCCCAGACACTGCCTCTCTGCTGGTCATCCAAGACTCCCCTGTCCCTACGCCCTGCACCACCACTGAGGCTTCAAGCAGCCTTCTGGGTGCAGGGTCCGCTGGAGCCCCCCACTTCTCACTCACGCCTTCCTTGCCTCAGTGAGCTGCCTCCTGCTCGGGGCGCCCGGTGCCCCAGCCTCCAGCGGGGTGGGGGGGGGTCCAGGCTGGTCCCCGCTGATCCTGCGCCCTTCCTGCCGTAGGAGAATGAGACGTGGTGGCTGTGTAACTGCACAATGGCGATTTGCAAGTACAACAACACCGTGGAGCTCGTGGAGATGGAGTGCGAGGTCCCGCCCAAGCCCACCTGCTCCAACGGCCTCCAGCCCGTGCTCGTCAAGGGTCCCCATGACTGCTGCCAGCATTGGGAGTGCGACTGTAAGTCCCCTGACGCCGCAGGACCCTCCGCCTTCTCCCTTCTGTGGGCGGGGGGCGGCAGGGCCCGAGGTCCTTGGACGTGATGGCCGCCTGCGGTGGGCTTCCTCCTTGTGTCTCATCTCAGGCAGGGGGTCCAGGTGGGGGGGCTTGCCTGGTGGAGCACAGCTACCTGTGCAGAATGAGCTGCTCCCGGGGTTGGAGGAGCAGAGCTGCACTCGGCACCCAGGCCTTCTGGCTCCAAGGCGGGGCTCCGTCCCATAGAACGGGCTTGCATGCCCCGCACGCCCCAGGAACCGGAATGTGCGGCGCCCCCTTGACTCCTGCTTGCTGTTCCCACTGTCCCTGGGCTCCCACCAGCCTCTGCCCCCGGCGCGGCCCCGGCCCGGGGCTCGGTGTGGCTCAGCGGAGCTCCCTCCTCAGGCTACTGCACAGGCTGGGGGGACCCTCACTACGTCACGTTCGACGGGCTGTACTACAGCCACCAGGGTAACTGCACGTACGTGCTGGTGGAGCGGATCGCCTCCACGCTGGACAACTTTGGGGTCTACATCGACAACTACCACTGTGACGTCAACGACCAGGTGTCCTGCCCCCGCACACTCATTGTGCGTTACGAGTTCCAAGAGGTGCTGATCAAGATGCTGCAGATGATGCCCATCAAGGTTCAGGTGCGTGGCAAGGCCGAGGACACCCAGGCGGGATGCACCCGTGTGCGGGTTCCTCACTCGGCAGGGGACTGGGCTGTTCTTGCAGGCCCTCCAGGGGCATTCAGGGGCCCCTTGACCTCCCCCACTCATGCTCCCAGCACCTGCCCTAGTCCTAGGTCTCTGTGGCAGAAGCCCCCATCCCGAGCACAGGCACTGGGCACACACTCACGTGGGGTTGCTGGTTCCTGTGGCCTGGGGAACTCTGCCCTCGGCATGCACCCCCGGCGACTCCAGGGGCCTCTGAGCGCAGGGTCCTTGCGACCTCCCCCAGGGACCGGCCAGGACAAGTCTGGCCCAGAGCAATGGAAAGGAAGTGGGGAAGGGACCAGGGCAGGGGCCAGGCAGAGGTCCCCCACTGGACGCACAGACCTGAAAACAGGCAGGGGTGGGGTGATCCCAGGTGCTCTCTGAAGACTCAGCTTGCCCCGACTCACCCCTATTGGACCCAGGAGGCTCTGTTTCCTGAGGTGGCTGGGGCGGGGCCCCAGGTGAGTGGCCACCACGCCTGCCCTGCTGGCTGTCCTGACCCCGGGTGTCCGGTCACAGGTGCAGGTCAACAGGCAGGTGGTGGCCCTGCCCTACGTGAAGAGTGAGCTGCATGTGTACCAGTCCGGCATCAACTACATGGTGGAAATCTCCAAGCTGGGCGCCCTCATCTCCTACAACGGACTTTCCTTCTCCATCAGGCTGCCCTACCACCTGTTTGGCAACAACACCAAGGGCCAGTGTGGTGAGCCCCTCGGCCCCTGCGGGCTCCCTGCAGCCCTGAGGAGGGCGGCTCGGGCTGGAGGGAGGCTGGGTGTGAGCACCTGCCAGCCCAGCGGTGGTTCTCCGGGTCCCCAGCTCGGGGCCCCGTGGGAAGAGGCCAGTGGGAGTCCTGTCTGGTCTGTGCCCTCGGCCCCGGCCTGATGGTCACCGGGGGACCTGGGCTGGAGAAGGGGGGTGTGGGGCCTGGTGCTGGTGCGACATGGGCTTCCTGCCAACACAGGCACGTGCACCAACAACACCGCGGACGACTGCGTGCTGCCCAGTGGGGAGGTTGTTGCCAGCTGCGAGTTCGCAGCGGATCAGTGGATGGTGAACGACCCCTCCAAGCCGCACTGTCCCCAAACCAGAGTCACCACCAAGGGTCCGACCATCATGCCGCCGGGGGGCAGCACCACCTCCCACAGGGACTGCACCTCTCCTCTCTGCGAGCTCATGAAAGACAGGTGCCCCTGCCCGTCACTAGCGAACTGCGGGGTCTCGGGGAGCGGCTACCTCTCCCCTTTCTGTGCCGCACACCTGTCTGCAGAGAGGCGCCGAGGCAGGGGGCTGAGCACGGGGCTGGGGTGTTGGAGGGAAGTCAGGGCACCATGGGCAGGTGCTGGGTCCCGGAGGGCCCAGGGCGGGGGCTCCTGATGTCTACGGGGCTGAGCTGTCTTGTCAGATATCCCTGGGCCTTTTCTGACCTCCCAGATCTCTCCTGCCTCGGCAGGGTCGGCTGAGCTGGGGGCCTTATGGAGAGCGGCTGACCAGGGCCAGAGCTAGCGTTCAGGGCTGGGTCAGGGAGGCACCCCCAAAGCTGGCAGCCATGCGAGCGAGGGCCTTGTCCCCAGAGGTGTGCAAGTTGAGGTTGGGTGGCCCTCTGCCAGGGTTGCAGGCGGGTGTCCCGGCACCTGGCAGCCACTGAGCTTGGAGCTCCCTCGCCTCCGACCACTGTCTGCCCACGGGCACTCGTTCGGTGGGATGCAGGCTGAGCCAGGCTCCAGGAGGGCAGCCGGGCAGAGGTGCTGGGCGGGTGGGGAGGGCCGGCCAGAGTGTGACCCGCCCCCCCTCCCTCCCAGCTTGTTTGCCCCATGCCACGCCCTGGTACCCCCCCAGCACTACTACGAAGCCTGCATGTTCGACAGCTGCCTTGTGCCTGGCACAGGCCTGGAGTGCGCCAGCCTGCAGACCTACGCCACCCTCTGTGCCCAGGCGAACGTCTGCATCGACTGGCGGAACCACACCCACGGGGTCTGCTGTGCGTGCCTGGCTGCCCCTGCCCCAGACCTGTGGTCCTGCAGGCCAGATCGGGGCTCTGGGCTCCGCTGGGCGCTGCGCCCGGCCTGAAGCCACACCGGGGTGGGAGGGCCGGGCGGACAGGGAGAGCAGGCCTGGGCCTTGGGGTGGCAAGAAGGGCGGGCTTGGAGGGCTGGGGGCCTGGGGCTACGGCCAGCCTGCGTACCAGCTCAGGGATGGCGTGGGGGGCCGAGGTGGGCAGCACTGGGTGGCCAGTCACCCTCAGCCATCGCGGGAGTGGCTGGGCAGGCCTGTCCCTCGCCAGGGGGCCCACGGGCTCCTCCCTCCCAACTCTGGCCCCTCTGAGTCCTGTCTCCTTCCTGCAGCGGTGACGTGCCCGCCTCACAGGGAGTACCGGGCCTGTGGTCCTGCAGAAGAGCCCTCCTGCGAGTCTAGCTTAGTTGCTACAAGGTGCGCAGGGACGGCGGGCTCGCCCCTCAGGCTGTGCATCGGGGCCCAGCCCGTGCGCACACCCATCTCATGATGCCCTCCCCCCCCAGACTCCTAAAGCAGAAGAGCACCGGCCTGGTGGAAGGCTGCTTCTGCCCCGAGGGCACCATGAACTACGCCCCAGGATTCGACATCTGTGTGGAGTTGTGTGGTATGCTGCTCGTCCTCATTGCTCTGCGAAACCCACCCCAGTCCTGCGGCACCGGGCTCTGCTAACGGACTGTGTTCTCTCCCTGCCCAGGCTGTGTGGGACCTGACGATGTGCCTAGAAAGGTAGGCCCTTCCTCTTGGTGCTGGGGTGGGGTTCACCCACAAGCCCGGAATTTGGGGGGCTAGGGTGGGTTGCACACAAGAGTCTGGGAGTCTCAAACCCTGAGTCATGTCATTTAAGTCCCGGAAGGCTGAGCCAGCATGGGTGTCCCCCGGACGCCCACCCACCCGTCCACCTCCTTCCCCCTCCTCCCTCCTCCCACCCCTCCCTCCTCCCTCTCTCTTTCCTTCCTTCTACCCATCCATGCACTCACCCAACTATCCATCTATCCCTTTGTCTGTCCAACTGTCCACCCATCCACCCACCCATCCACCCACCCCTTCATTCCAACCACCCGTCGGTCACTTGATGCTCCATCTAAACCTGAGATGACATCTTCGCCACCGCAGTGTTGTCCGTGTCTCCCACACGTGGCCAATGCCTTAGCTCTATTCCGCGAACCCCCCCACACGAGTGGCGCATTTGCTGTGTGCTGGGCCCGTGGAGGCAAATGCCAGGAGCAGGTCATGGCTCTATGGTGCCAGCGACATGGCCCCACGTGCTGGGAGGTGGGGAGGGCACAGGTTTCCCACGGGACCCTTGGTGCGACGCCCACCACGGTGCCTCCTCCCGGCTGGGCACGGGCAGTGCTGCGGGGCGGCCCTGGCACGTGGCCGAGGGGGCTGGCGCTGCGACCCCTGCCCGCCCACTTCCTCCCTGCAGTTCGGGGAGCACTTTGAGTTCGACTGCAAGGACTGCGTGTGCCTGGAGGGCGGGCGCGGCATCATCTGCCAGCCCAAGGAGTGCCGCCAGGAGCCGGTCACCTGCACGGAGGACGGCACCTACCCGGTCACGGAGGTCAACCCGGCGGACATGTGCTGTAACATCACGACCTGCAGTAAGGCTGCCCCCCGGGCAGCGCTGGGTGCCTGGGGCTCACCCCGCCACCCCCGGCTGTCCTCAGCGCCCCGCTGAGCCAGGACGCCTCTGACTTGGGGGCCTGTGGGGGCTGGGCCGTGCCCCCGAGCTGGGTGTGGAGGGGGGAGGCCACTGCCCGCAGGCCCCGCCCTTTCCACTCTCCCCCTCCCTCCCCCCAGAATGCAATACCAGCCTGTGTGAGGCGTTGCCGCCCAAGTGCCCGCTGGGCTTCGAAGTGAGCAGCAAGGCCAGTCCTGGGAAGTGCTGTCCGTCCTACTCTTGTGGTCAGTGGGGCCTGGGAACCGTGGGCGGGGTCGCTCCACACGGTACGCACACCCACCCCGGGCCCGAGTGCCCATGCCGTCCGGTGGCTGGGTGTCGGCCGCGGGGCCAGGCAGGCCAGCCTGACCCATGTCCCCATTCTATTCCTCCCAGTGCCCAAGGGTGTGTGCGTTCACGGGAATGCTGAGTACCAGGTGAGCCCTGGGCCCAGGGGTGGGGGTCCCGGGCAGGCTCTCAGGCTGGGCAGGGTGCCGGGGTGGGGGCAGCCCTCCGGCAGGCGGGCGGGAGGCGTGGGGGGTGGCCCTGCTCACCCGCCCTCCCCGTGCCCGCAGCCCGGGTCCCCAGTGTATTCCTCCAAGTGCCAGGACTGTGTCTGCACCAGCGACAGGAACAGCAGCTCACAGCTCAACGTCATCTCCTGCACCCACGTGCACTGCAGTAACTCCTGCAGCCCCGTAAGCCACCCCGTCCCCAAGAGCCACCCTCGCCTGTCCCCCGGCTCCTCCCCTCCCCATGCCCACCTGAGCCTGCGTGTCTCGCAGGGCTTTGAGCTGGTGGACGTCCCTGGGGAGTGCTGTGGCAAGTGTCAGCAGACCCACTGCATCGTCAAAAGACCCAGCATGGAGAACATGATCCTAAAGGTGCGCGGGGAGCTCCACCTGCTCGCGTCCGCCTCTTGACTCGGGAGGGGCCGACCTGGAGCGGTGGGCGAGGCCTGGGACAACTCCTGCTGCCCCTGGCTGGGTCTCCCCAGGGCTGGGCACGGCTGTGCAAGGGTCCTGGGGCGACCGTGACAAGTGACCAGAGACTAGGGCTGGAAACACCGGGAATGACTGACTTTCCCAGCATGGAGCCCGAGTCCAAGCTCAAGGTGTTGCAGGGCCATGCTCCCTCCAAAGTCTCTGGGGGACCTTCCTGCCTCATCAGCTTCTGGGGCTCCAGGCGGCCCTGGGTTTGTGGCCTCATCCGTCCACTCTCTGCCTCATCTTCCCGTGGCCCCTCCTCTCTCTATAAGGACACTGGTCATTGGATTTAGAGCCACCTGTGTAATCCAGGATGGTCTCATCTTGAGATTTTTAACTTAATCACATCTATAAACACCCTTTCTCCAAAAAAGGTCACATCTGCAGGTGCTGGGGGTTAGGATGTGGACGTGTCTGTGAACTAGAGGCTGGTGGCTGTCCCGGGGCCCCTCCTGGGTGTCACCTGCTTGGTGGCTCTGGGCCTGCCAGCCGGGCCTCCTGCTGGGCCTCACCACACTGCCCTGTGCCCTGCAGCCCGGGGACATAAGTCATGACCCCACGAACAATTGCACCTTCTTCAGCTGCGTGAAAATCCACAACCAGCTCATCTCCTCCGTCTCCAACATCACCTGCCCTGACTTTGACCCCAGCATCTGCCTCCCGGTGAGTGGGGGTCCCCAGGGCCAGGCCAGTCCCTGTCCCTTCCCACCCTGTGGCAGGAGGGGGGTGCTCACTGTCAGGGGGCAGTCCCGGATGCCAGGCTCATTCTCCTTCCCTCCAGGGCTCCATCACACTCATGCCCAATGGATGCTGCAAGAAATGTGAGTGCAGGGTGCTGGGAGGGAGGCTCCCAGGGCACAAGGTGCGGCCAGGCAGGGGAGCTCCAGCTGGGACCCTCGGGGGGAAGAGGCACAGGGCACCGTGTCCTGGGATCCCTGTCCCCTCTGTGCCACTCTCCACCGGATGCTAAACTTGAGGGCATCACCTGGGGTGCCCTGCTTGCTGGGGGGTGGCTGAGGCCGGGCACACTTGGGGAGGGAGAAGAAGCTGTGAGGGAAGAACGTGTAGGCCCCCTGAAGGTGTGGAGCCCCCACCCCAGAGCCTCCACCCCCTCTTGCCAGGCATCCCTCGCAATGAGACCAGGATCTACTGTTCCACCGTCCCCATTACCAAGGAAATTTCTTACTCCGGCTGCACCAAGAAAGTCACAATGAATTCCTGCTCTGGGTCCTGTGGGACCTTTGTCATGTGAGTCCCAGGCCCTGCGTGTGCCCTGCTGGGGGTGGCAGGGCGGGGGGCGGGGCAGTCCCACGCCCCAGGGAGCAGCTCCTCACTGTGGCCCTCCCCCAGGTACTCGGCGCGGGCCCAGGCCCTGGACCGCCGCTGCTCTTGCTGTAAGGAGGTGCGCACCAGCCAGCGAGAGGTACAGCTGAACTGCCCTGATGGCCGCTCCCTGAAGCACACCTACACCCACATCGAGAGCTGCCTGTGTAGGGACACCGTGTGTGAGCTCCCGCAGGCTCCGCACCGCTTCTCTCACCACACCCGGAGCGCCAGCCCCAGGGGCCTGCCCCCGGGGAGGGATTGAGCAGGGCCCCGCCGTCCAGCCCCCCACCCCGAAACTGTCCTCCGCACGCCCCCCTCCCGCTGACCCTCTGAGCTTCCTCAGCTTAGAGGACCTCCTCCCTGCGGATATTTATTTTCTGAGTCTTTGTTCAAGTCTTTGCTTTCCAAAATAAACCTGGGCAGATGCTGTGCTGGTGTGTTTCAGTTGGTGCCGAGGGTCTGGGTGGCTACCATGGGGCGAGTGGACGGAGAAGGCCCAGAGAGGGCACCCCAGTGACCACCTTCCCTAGGCTACCTCCGAAAGCCCTGTCCTGCTCTCAGCGTGTCACGGCACAGGAGGCCCCCTTCCAGGAGGACTTCCAAATCTGAGTTTGCAAAAAAGGGCTCTCGGGTGCCTTTCCAGGGCTTCCCCCTTGGTGAGGCCCGGCAGCTCAGGGCAAGCGTGTGCACCTGGGTGTGCACATGTGGCTTGAGTGTGTGCGTTGAAACGTGCCTCATCCTGGGTCTCTCTGTTGGCAAGAAGGATGTCCTTGGCCCATGGATCAGGGGCAGCAAAGGCTGGGTCTTTCCTGGCTGCTCGGTGTGCCCGCAGAGCAGACTCTCAGACCCACTTGCGGAAGTTCTGGTTGGCTCTGTGGACCCAGGCGGGAGGCTGGCCCTGTGAGTGTGCACGTGCGTGTGCCCGGGCATTCAGCCACATGGCCACCTGCCCGCATGTATTTGGGAAGCTGTTGTGGGAGCTGAGCCGCCAAAGTGGGAATTTTAGGGAAGGGACGCCTCTGGTCCTTTTACAACAGAGCGTGCCAGGCTGGTGGGCCGTCTGGGTGGCCAGGGAGACGGCTGGACCAGAGCGGAAGCTCACAAGGTCGGGTGGGGAGCCAGCTGTCTGTTCTGAGGCAGCAGACCCCCAGCCTGAGCAGCTGGCGAGGGCATGGGAGCCCTGGGGCCCTGGGCTGAGGGGCCCTGAGTGCAGTCATCCTCAGAAGCCTAAGGGGAGGGTGCCGATGTCCCCTGGGGCCCACAGTGTGTCCTCTCCCATGAGTGTCTGCCACATTTCACACTTGACCAAATGGAGGCTCTCAGGGAGGGTGGTGCCCACAGCAGTCTCCTCAATGCTGGGGGACCGAGGGGCTTGCACCAGGGGGGACCGGAACACCCCTTCCTCTGCATTCACTGTGTCCTGAGGAGCTGGGCTGCAGGCTCGGCCCTCCCTCAGCCGAGCCCTCCCCGACCTGCCCTCGCCTGACATCAGGGAGGGCTGTGATGGTCGTGAGGGTGTGTCTGCACGTTGGCACGATCCGGGGACCTGGGACCTGGGGGCCTGTCCAATGCCTTCTTGGCCTGGGGGGTGGCAAAAGCCCTGCACAGCCCCCTCTGGTGATCACAGGAGCCCACATTGTCCCTGGCCAAGACCTGTGGACTTTCTAGGTGGTCAGTTGGCCTGGGCTGGCCTTGGAGCCGCCAAGTGACCCCCTCGAGCAGGAGGTTTGCTGAGGGCACGGGGCGGGGCGGGGGGCTCCCAGCCTCGGCTGTGTGGCCAAGTGGGGGTTCTGGGTGCTTCAGAACTAGCCTTTCTGTAAAGCGGTCAATGTGCCTACCCTGTGGCTCTCACCTGTTCCGAGGTGTGCCCCCCGGAGCCACAGAGGGCCTTGAGCTCCAGAAATTCTCGTACTGTGTGGTGTGTTTCGTTGATGTGGAGCTGAGCTCCTGGCCCATCCTGGCAGTAGGTCACTTCTGCCCCGCCTGGCTGTGCCCTTCCGGCGGGCAGCCCAGCACCAGCGGGACCACCTGCAGGACAAGAATGGGGGGGGGGCTCGTGACCTGCATCTGGTCAGGAAGAGGGTCAGCCTCGGGCCAACGTCCTCATCCACCTCCTGGCTCTGCAGCTGTGAGGTGGGGGCTCTGGGTGACCAGGGGTGGGCGAGGGTGAAGCTGCGCCCGGCTTGCTTCTCTAGGCTGCGCCCCCAGACCCCAGTTTAAGCAGCATCGCCAGGTTTTCTCTTTGACACATGGCAGTTTCCATGAGGCTTTGTTTGGAAAGAGGTTTTCGGCTTCAAAATCATTTGTTGACCCTTGGCAGATGGTTGCTGAGACTGCCCCCCTCCACCGGAGGAAGCAGAGGATGCTCCCCAGACCCCCGCCCGACTCTCTGGAGGGACGGATGAATGATCCAGGCACTGTGCCCCAGCCTTGCCAGGCCCAGAGGCTGTGTGGGGGGTGTCCCTTCGCTTCTTACAGGCCGCCCCTTCTGTTCCCACTGTTTACATGATGGCTCGGAGGGGTCTGCTAGGGACGCCCATGCAATGGGCAGCCACCCTGCCCTCTGTCCAGGAGCGACCGCCTTGGCTGAGCCCCTCCTCACCCTTCCCCTCTACCGCTCCCCAGCTTCTGGTCTCCAGCAGAGTGGTCTGGTCCGGAGGACAGCCCACCGGCCCAGAGTCTGCTCCATGGGTGTCCCTCACCTGCCCAGGTCTGGTTTCTAGCCGGGGAGGAGTCACCGTGGAGACCCCAGTGTGGAGGCCACACTTTACCCACCATGGTCCCTCCTTCTCTGGGCTGAGCACCAGCTTTGCACTGACACCCTTGGGACCAGTTGGAGATGCTGATCTGCCCTCTGACCTGAGGCAGAGAGGCCCCCATCTTGTCTCCAGGGCTGTCCCCGAACCCTCGCAGCCTTCGGAGGCCTCGGATGTTCTTGATCACACATTCATGGGACCCAGCTTGGCGCCCTTTTGTAAAGCAGGGGCTTCTCAGTGAGGGCTCAGCAGAGCAGGGGCCCCCCGCCCCCAACCGACCCCCGCTCTGTCGGCCCAGCCAGGACGGTCTTCTTGGGTTCTCTCTACCCAGAACCAGATGGGCAGGTCCTGGAGCGTCCTCTTCAGAGGAGGAAGGTGGGTGCAGGCGAAGGGGGGTGAGGGGCAGCAAGGGAGGAGGTCTGGTCACGTCTAGCTCTTTCGTCTCCCTCATCCAGCCCACATCCCTGAGCTGCATTGTCCTGGGGCTCAGTGGGGACGCGAGGCCTGGGACAGGGTCCAGGTGGCTGTAAGCTCAGATGCTGGGCCACATGGTCCCTGCTGCCACCTGAGGGGGCCCTGGGGACAGGGGGACAGGCCACCCAGGGCCCGACGAGGTGTCCAGAGGTTATGGCCTGTGTTGGCCACACTGGCCTACCTTCTTTCCACACAGCATCCCTTAGATTAGAGGCGTGCCTCGTGGTCCTGCTATGCCTGGTTCCTGGGGACGCCACGGCATCCCGAGCATCTGGCTCAGTGGGCATTCACACGCTCTCAGGAGCTGGGCCCTGTGGGCCTGGTGTGGCCCCCAGGGGTCAGTCCGGCTCAGGCTCTGGCTATGCCGGCAGGCTCGGTTGGCTGAGGGCCTGGGATGCCCTCCCAGCCCCTCACCTCACAGTGGGATCATGACCATTACGACGAATGGCCAGTGGCCAGCCTGCTGCCCACTGGGCCTCCCAGAGGCTACACTCATTCTTCAGCACAGGGGAAGGTGGCAGAGCCAGGACCCCTGCCTGGCCCCAGAGACAGAAGGGGCTTCGGGGTCACCCTGCTGTGATGTCAGGTCCTGTCCAGACTCTGGTGCGACTCCTCCTGAGTCTGCTGGGCACCATGGGTTAGGGGAGCCCCAGGCCCCACTGTTTCACCCTCAATCATGGGGCTTCCGTGGAAAGAGCCAGGAAAGAGCCTTCCCTGAGCAGGGTCCTTGGGAAGGCAGGGTGGGCGACTGAGGATTGTCCCCCCGCCCCGGCTGTCTCCCCACCTCCCTTTCCTGGGGGAGCGTTTGTCTGGAGTCAGAGCTGAGTCCACTGTCCAAACGGTGAACATGAGCTGTCCCGGCTTACACAGCGCAGATGCATCTCGAAAGCGCTGGGACAACACGCGACCACACACTTCCTACTGCGGAGTGTGGAAACGACAAAGTGCGGGAGCAGAAAGCAGAGCCGTGGTTCCCTGGGACGGGGGCCTGGGGAGGGGATCGGCCGCAGAGTGGCACAGACACGCTCCGTGGTGGGCACATGCCACGTATCAGACTGCACGTCACCTGATGTCGTTTACGGCACGTAAGTCACACTTCGATACGGGAGTGAGCCTTCTGACAGTTGCCTCAAACAACTATTCCTTATTTAGCTCATTACTCCGGTTTGCAGCCCAGGCTGGCTTGTCACGTGCCTGCCGTCAGCTGGGGGGTCCACAGGGCCAGCTGTGGCTGGGGGAGCGGGGCTCACGGACGCCCCCCTGCACAAATCCTCTTCTCCAGAGTGAGGTGGCAGGTCACACGATGCCCCACTGTGTGCAAGAGTGACAAGAGGACGGCCCGAACACAAGCACTTCCTGTGCCGCCCCTGTCACATTCGCGGCTGTTCCGGTGGCCACAAGCCACGTGCACGACCACGCCCAGATCAGCAAGGACACGCCACGGGGTATGCACGACTGGGGACTTTGGCAGCCTCACGTCACACAGACTAGATGGTAGAAAGAGTGGGAAAGCCCAGCCGTCTCATTTGGAAACGAATTAGTGTGGGGCCCAAATCGCTCAAGAGCCGCCCAAGGAAGGAACGCTGTGCACAAGACCCACTTGTTAACACAGAGACGGACACCCTGAGGAATACGTCAGCACAGCAAATTCAGGAGTGGAGGTGAGAAGCCTCGAGGGGCAGGAGCTTTTCTCTGTCCACAGGGGGGCTGGTCCCCTTCGCCCCGGCGCCTGCCACCCTCTGCTGGAAACAGAGGGCATGGCCATCCCGCCTCTGCTCTCTCCCATCCTCTCGGGGTGACCCGGAGGGGAGCTGGTCCAGGCCCATGCTGCCAGCCACCGGAAGGTTGTCTGTTGAATTCCAGGGGGACATATACTCACCCACAAACGTAGTCCGCCGCCTCCAGTCCGTGAATTTATAATTCACAAAGTCAGGTGTGGCCCTGCATCTGCCAAGACCCTTTGCTCATTTTTCAGCTGATTCAAGCACTCAGGTGGGGGGGGGGTTGCTGTGTACGAACCTCCCCCCGCACCCTACGTCCCAACAATCCCAAGGGAGTAGGGTTTTCCCAGGATCCA